CAATACGCCCCCTTGTGGCTAGGCATCTTAGTACATCCTGTTTGCCCCCCCCCCCTGTTGTTTTGCTGCCCTCTGCTGGAGACTCTGCACACTACATGTACTAGACTGCAGGAAGCCCCCTGTCTCTCTTTGGCCGTACTCATACTGGAGCTGAACCCCTTTTTGGGCACTTTTATGAGCCTTTGTACAAGGCGTTTCAGGCTTGAGTGTTTTATTTTTATTTTTAGCCATTGCAAAGCGAGTTACTAGGCTAAATAAAGCTTTACAAATGCGCGTTGAGCACGTTTTTGCACTTTTTTTTTGCTCCCATTGAAGTCTACTGGGGCCAAAAGGCTTGACTCTGCCCCAAAAGAAGCTCATGTACTTTTTCACGCTACACGTGCGGACAGGAGCCATAGAAAACAATGGGATTCCTCCTGTTGAGCGTCACATCGCTTAGGCATTCGAGCTACAAAATGCTGAGGTGTGAATGGGGCCTAATTGCCATGTCAAAGGCAATGCCCGCAGTAATACAGAAAACTAAATGCATTTATATCATTGTCAGTTATATAGAGGAACCCAAATTATATATACATTACTTTTATCCAGTTTTATGTGCAAAATGCTATTGCTACCTACATAGATTTCTATGTAGCCAGACAGCTCTTGGCCCCCCTGTGCCTTTGAGCTCCTTAGCAAATGCATGGTCGGTCATGGCTATAGTTACGCTCTTGGATGAGACGTTTATTGTCCCCCTATTAGTGTGGCCAGGGCCGGATTTCCCACAAGGCCAACCAAGGCCCCGGCCACGGGGCAGTAGGGAGTAGAGGGGCAGCAGAGGTGTGGAATTTCTATCTTCCGATGCCCTGGCGGGTAGTTGTTTTCTACATTTAGCCCTGCTTTGTTTTGTCAAGTGATCAAGTGATCTCGGCAACATTGTATGAAGCCTGCAGGTCTGCCATTCTCCATGGGGCGAGGTTGGCAGGTAGGGGGGGCGCATTGAGGAACCTGGCCTTGGGGCATTAGAGAGAGTAAATCCGGACCTGAGTGCGGCCTTTATTCATTGGTGCACTTTAGATGCTAATATGTCTCTGGCGGTTCTCAAGTTCTTGATAGCTAGTAATGGTTAGTCACATCTACCTAGACTTATATTAATGTTGAACAGGCTTGGCCACCCATCCAAGTTATTCTAAGGTCAGCAGAGGTACAATGTTTATGGATAGAAAGCCTGGAGCTGCCCTTTAAAGTGACATTAAACCCTCAGATTTGTTAACATAAAACAATACTGTAATCCATGGTAGTTTCCCTTCTCTTTGCTGCTCTTCCTTTTAAATCTGTATCTCTTCTCATGCTGGGGGAGAATTTCTGTTTTGCAGCAGACTGCCTTGTCTCAGGAATGGATACACGGTGTCTGTGTATACGTTTGTATGGGCTTGTAACCTGAGCCAGCACTACAGGAAGAGGCCCAGAGCTGAAAAGGGAAGTTCTCCCCAAGCATGAGAAGACACAAGGATTTAAAAGGAAGAGCAGCAAAGAGAAGGGAAACAACCATGGATTACAGTAAGGCGCACATTACAGTATTGTGTTATGTTAAAAAATCTGAGGGTCTAATGTCACCTTAAGTGATGTGGATTGTCAGACAGACCTGGGATGTGCTTCGGCCACCTTCGAAAACTCGTTCTCCCAGATCGGTCGCCCATAACAGGTTTTCTGTTTCAGCCCCGTCACTGCGTCGGTTGCCACGTCAAAGTTAATAATTGCATGTCCAGCCTGGGAAGAAGAAAGGGTTTTTTAATGACTTCATATAATGACCTCATTACAAGGCTACAACAAAGCAAAGCTTAATAAAAGGCCATGTCTACAAAATCCTAAATCTTCACACATTAGAGGAAGGGATGGTCATAACCCCCGACAGTCCTCTCTCTGCTGGCCGCATCTGTATGGTACAGCCCCATAGACTTCTATTGGGGTGGGTCTATTTCCATCTCCTGGAGGAGGTAGACCAGCCAGCACCTGTTGAGTTATCCATAGTCCTGTGTTAGATGTATGACTAGGGGTTAATGTTGCATAGTTACCAGCTGCCCAATCACTGTGGGAGTTATATTCGGTGGATTGAGTCAGGCGGTTGTAAAGGATAAGCTTTGACAAGTATGGACATCCATCCAGGAACCTTTGACCAACGGAAACTAAGATCCGTTGAGTATTTTATCTCTGCTCTTCCTGTTCTACAACTTATCCGCAAATAAATCTACAGAAAACATATGCAAGGACTCGACTGCCTTTATTCAAGATCTAAAATAGTAAGTGATCTTTCAATTGGGGGTCCATTTGAATGTACAAATCCCATCTGAGTGGAAGCCCAGGCAGGTCCCATTCTCCCAACCTAGTGGAGGCTCGGTGTCTAGAGCCGTCACAGGTGCAGAGTGTTTAAGAACATGCGAAAAGAAAATACTTGCTGTCGTAACAATTGGCCCACATCAATCATTTAAGGTGTGTAAAGGTAAATCAGCTGACTCGTGCTATAAAACCTTTAAGATAAAACAATTTTCCACTGTAAAAATGGTAGAGTATTGTACCGTGTCAGCCATCGAGTAGTGCAGAACATTTGGAGGTTAGGTTATAATTAGACATGCAAGCTTTCTGGATTCCGTAGATCCCTTCGTCAGGATTTATAAAGTTCTGGAAATGGTACTGAAACCCAAATACTGATGCAAGGAGGAACCCCCTCTCCCATAAAGGAGCCCACCTTCATATCAGAGGCTCTACATTACATCAGAAGCCCCTTCACATCAGAGACTCTTCCTTTAACATCAAAGTCTTCCTCTTTTACATGAGAGTCCCCCTTCACATCGGAAGCCTTCTTTCACATCAGTGTCTCCTCTTTACATCAGAGTCCGAACATTACACCAGGAGCCCTCTTTCCCATTAATGTCTTCTCTTTGAGCCCTCCTATCATCAGAGTCCCCTCTTTCACATCAGGAGTCTCTTTCACATCAGAGTCCTACCATCACACCAGGAACTGCAGCTGCGGCAGCATGGCAGAGGTGGGGGAGCAGATCATGTCTGAATTAAGGCAAACGTCTGTCCTTTTCTGAATGGAAGCAACCAGTGGCGTAACAATCACCAGGCGGCCGCTATGGGGCCCGGGGCACAGTGGGGCCCGGCCAGATGCCGTGCGGTCGCTATGGGATCTTCTGCTGGTGGCTTTTACTGGTGGCTGAGGACGAACACGCGGCTGTTCAGATCACTGACAGTAATCTGTGCGGCAGCGCGTTCCTCTACACAGAGTCAATGGGAGCCAGCAGCAGCAGTGGAGGAGGCGGGGCCCATGGTCGACAGCAGGGGAGGAGGCGGGGCCCGGCGACGGAGGAGGAGGCGGGCCCATCAGCGACCGTGAAGGAAGAGGAGGTGGACAGGTAAGGAGTGCGACCAGCCCACCTGAGGGTGACCCTGCAGAGCCCACCATAGAGAGTCTATGCAGGTTCACCCTCAGGTGGGATCTCGAGTGGGCTCTGCATGGGGTATAACTAGAAATCACGGGGCCCCATACAAAATTTTGCTATGGGGCCCTGTGATTTCTAGTTACGCCCCTGGAAGCAACCCTTTGTGGATAAGCATCATTCATTTTCATGGTGCTGGTGGCCAGCCCGCCTTTACCATGGAAAGGCATGATACTGAATATTTTGAGGAAGTCAGAAGGTGCCCTGGCTGAGAAAAGCTAGTCGAACCTTTCACGACAACCTTCACCACTCACACATGTCAAGAAAAAACAGATAATAAGGATAATGGAAATGCCACATAACGGTTGGCACGAGTGTATCCCTAAAGAGTAAAACGTAGCGATAAAAGATTACGCCGCACATACTAGGTTGCTGTCCCAGTTGGTCAGGAAGAGTCGATAGTTGAGAAATCCATCCTTTCCTGAAGAGATCATCTCCTGTTCCAGAGAGAGCAGAAGATCAGCGAACCAGGCGAAGGCTCCGGTCTCCCGACAAATCCAGTAAAAGTATATCTGCAAGAGTAGAATAAGGATCAGGAGGGATCGTAGCAATGTTCTAAGAAGTGCTTTAGAAATTACTTGGGAATGTCTTTTGATAGGTGATGGTTGTTTTGGGGGCTCAGCATGAAGTATCAAAGACTCCTACATAGGGATGAGGGAAACGGAGCGTTTTCCCTTTGCCAAAATTTAGGCAAATTTGCCATTCTTGGATTCAAAGGGAAAGGTGGCTCCTAAAACAAAAACCCACCATGCACCCATGGACCCATGTACCCATTACCATTAAAAGAAAGACCCACCATGCACCCATTACCATTAAAAGAAATATCCACCATGTAGACATTACCCCCACTTCCCTTTTGCTCATTGATCTAATAATAAAAAATCTATTCTAAGCTAAATACCCCAAATACTTACCTAAATCTGTGCTCGTGTGATGGGGGCTGAGACTTCTTGCTTAGTTACTGCAGAGTGGGGAGGGGGGGTCATTTTGTAGGATGCCCATGATGCTGCCTGGTGATGTAGACACTTCCCATTAGGTCTATTGGTGGGGTCCTCACAGGACCATAAAGACTCACAATGAGGGGGTTAGCATTGGCCCTGCCTGCAGTAACGCATCAAAGGTTTCCACTCTTGGAAGAGGTCCCATGATGGTGGATCTAGGTAAGTTATACAGAGCACTGTAGCTTCTGGGACTGTAATTCATCTCCAATGGCAGTTTAAAAGTTTATGGCTGGACAGCAGGTTGTAGAGAAGGAAACAGAGGTCTCTCTGCAGCAGTCTAACAATCCCCTCCCACATGAGTCAGGGCGGCCCGTACAGCTCCGTGCGGTGTGCACGGCGGTATCGGGCAGCTAACCAGGAAGGACAGGTGCTGCGTGTGGTTTGTACGCAGCAGCCTGTCCTTCTCTATGGGAGCGTACGCCCCCCCCGAACTGCACGTACGTGTGGGTGCGGACGTCCAAACTCGTATGCTGACAGGATGGATCCTGTCCGTGTCCGAGCACACGCAAGGACCTGCAGGTCGGGGGTATATCGGGCAGCTCCCGGGAAGGACAGGTGCTGCGTGTGATTAGTACGCAGCCTATGTCCTTCTCTTTGGGAGTACGCGGCCGTATGCCGCCCTACGCTCACCCGCCCTGCATGTCCGTACTCATACGCTGACAGGATGGATCCTGTCTGCGTCCGAGCCGGGACACCCGCACCCGTATGGACTTGCACTTGGGGTGAGCGTACAGCCGTGTACTCCCATAGAGAAGGAAGGGGGCTGCGTATTAATCGCATGCATCACTTGTCCTTCCCGGGAGCGGCCCGATACAGCATGGATCTGTACGGGCCGCCCGTTTCTTGTGTGAACGAGGGCTTAGAGTGTAGTTTTACTTTGGCAGTTCAGTATGAGCACTTTTATAAGCAAATAATAAAGGCAAACAGCTTTTTTTTGTTGCAATGAGAACGGGATCATGTTACACATATAAAGGAGGGGCTATCCCAATTTGGCTGCAAAAGTGGAAATACACTTTAAATGGCTGCTGAGAAAAGCATACCAACCAGTTCTTCAGCTTCACAAGCTATTAGTCAGTCTAAGACTATTAACTTCCAAACATAATGGTTAATTGGCCAACAAGAGGAATGTGAAAAGACAGACGGTACAAACAAAATACCTTTTTGGTTTTCAGCCTTTCATCTTCGTGCTGAAACTTGTACCATATGGATTTTAAGATGGAGGCAAAGGGTGTTACTCCTATACCTGCCCCAACTAGCATGCTGACCTCATATTGGAAGACATCTTCACTCGCTGTTCCAAATGGTCCATCAACCTTAAGACTAAGAAGAAGAAAAAAAATGAAGAATATTTAATAGTCTTCTCTCAAATCGTGCGTCTCATATATCAATCTATAAACATTAAACTGCGTTCGGGGTTTGGAAACTCCCAGACTGTCAAAGGTTTCTCCTTACAGGCTGTAATCGGCTATCTGTCCCCTCTGACAGACAACCGCGGCCCATTACAGGCTTTAAGGAGAGCCTGTGTGTCTGCAGCAGGGAGAACAGGATGGGCACAGTTATCTGCAGGGAAGTGCTACCATTTCTCCGCCCCCAAAACAGTGCCCTCAGGCAGGGGCGTCCCGAGGCTGGGGGACACCCGGAGCGGTGTCCGAGTGTCACCCCGCCGAGATGTCACCGCGCATGATACCTGCCGGCGGCCATCTTGGTGATTGACGCCGGCAGAGAGAGGAGGAGACAGCCACCCGGCAGGATAAGGTATGCCGCCGGGTCCCCTCCTCTCTCCTTTTCAGAGGGGGGTGACACCAAAATGACTAAGTCATTTTGGTGTCACCCCTCCAATGGTGTCACCCGGGTGCGGGGCCGCACCCCCCTTGTGACATCACTGCCCTCAAGCGGCCTCTTGTGCTGCCTTGCACTGATGGTAAGACACCATCAATGTGTTTTCTGGTGTACAACTGTCCAGTTCTATACGATAATTTTTTGCTATTAAGATGTTTTTCTAACATGTTGCATCGATTTTATGGGGCCACCATATGCATCCCTTATCTAGCAGTAAACTAGATTTGAACGTGCCCCCACTGACCTCTGTAGCTGCAGGTACTGTGGTGCAATTCTTCCTGCTCTAAACTAATGAGGTGATTGACAGCAAGTGGTTAAATCTCTCCGTAGCAAGGGATTAAAATCACCGTGTAGCTGTAGCCACTTAGCCTATAACAGCATAGGGCTTTTTCCTGAGTACTCGGTACTTAAAGTGACATTAAACGCTCAGATTTTTTAACATAAACCAATACTGTAATGTGCGCCTTCCTGTCATCCATGGTTGTTTCACTTCTCTTTGCTGCTCTTCCTTTTAAATCCTCATGTCTTCTCATGCTGGGGGAGAACTTCGCTTTGCAGCTGAGTGCCTCTTCCTGAAGTGCTGGCTCAGGTTACAAACCTATACAAACCTATACACAGACACTGTGTATCCATTCCAGAGACAAGGCAGTCTGCTGCAAAACAGAAGTTCTCCCCCAGCATGAGAAGAGATACGGATTTAAAAGGAAGAGCAGCAAAGAGAAGGGAAACAACCATGGACTACATTAAGGCGCACATTACAGTGTTGTTTTATGGTAAAAAATCTGAGGGTTTAATGTCACTTTAAAGAGTTTGTATAGCCAAATATTTTTAGGTTTCCATAGACTAGGGAATGGTACATATGCTCTAGGAATCCCCTGAACTCAATGGATGATAAAATAACAATACGTGGTGGTGGAAACGTGTTTAAATGGTTTGAGTTTTGCGAAGTTTCCGTTTCTTGGCAGGTTCTTGGTAGTTCTCACCTGGGTGGTTTATGAGTTGTGTCTTCAAAAGCTTGGATGAGGCTATCTGTCCAGTCCCCGGCATGTCGGATATGTACAGAGAAAAAGTCTTCTTCTGGAGCAGAGGTAAGAGTGAACGGGTGCCATTCCAGGGTGGAAATCAGTGGACAGTTGATGAATATGTATTGGCCAACTTCCATTCTAAATCCGCGTTTCTTCATTTGTATTTCCAGAACTTTGGATGGATGGCCGACAGTCTTGAAAGAGAATAAAATATCTGTCATGAAAGATGTAACAACCTGTCGCAAACCAGTCATGCCCCCCTCCCTGGCTAAATGTTTGTGGACACCTGACTATCACTCGTATGTGAGCTTGTTGGCCATCCCATTCCCAAACCATTGTCATTAATATGGAGTTTAAGGCTATAAACAGCCTCCACTCTTCTGGGAAGGCATTCCACTAGAGTTTGGAGGGTGTCTGTGGGGATTTGTACCCGTTCAGCCAGGTACTGATGTTGGATGAGAAGATCTGGCTCTAGGGTTGCCACCTGTCCGGGATTTACCCGAACAGTCAGGTTTTTGAATCCTGTGTCTAGGTTTCAGGCCAGCTAATCTGCCCAAGACCAATAACAAAGACCTGCCCGAGACTGGTAAGAAGGACCTGCCCAAGACCAGCAAGAAGGACCTGCCCAAGACCAGCAAGAAGGACCTGTCCAAGACCAGCAAGAAGGACCTGTCCAAGACCAATAACAAAGACCTGCCCAACACTGGTAAGGAAGACCTGCCCAATACCAGTAAGAAAGACCTGCCCAACACCGGTAAAAAAGACCTGAATGAACGACCTGTCCAAGACTGGTAAGAAAGACCTGCCCAAGACCAGCAAGAAGGACCTGCCCAACACTGGTAAGGAAGACCTGCCCAATACCAGTAAAAAAGACCTGCCCAAGACCAACAAGACCTCCCAAGACCAATAACAAAGACCTACCCAAGACTAGTAAGAAAACCTGTCATAGACCAGTAAGAAAAACCTGCCCCACACCAGTAAGAAAGACCTTTCCAAGACTGGTAAGAAAACCTGTCATAGACCAGTAAGAAAAACCTGCCCCACACCAGTAAGAAAGACCTTTCCAAGACTGGTAAGAAAACCTGTCATAGACCAGTAAGAAAAACCTGCCCCACACCAGTAAGAAAGACCTTTCCAAGACTGGTAAGAAAACCTGTCATAGACCAGTAAGAAAAACCTGCCCCACACCAGTAAGAAAGACCTTTCCAAGACTGGTAAGAAAACCTGTCATAGACCAGTAAGAAAAACCTGCCCCACACCAGTAAGAAAGACCTTTCCAAGACTGGTAAGAAAGAGCTACTGTTTTGTTTTTTAAGAACCCTACTCTTACTGCTACCCTGAGGTTATGCAGAGTTTCTTTCATAATCCAAGACCTTTCTTCAGGTCCATAATCCTTTCAACCTAACAAGCTTCTCCAAGCATGTTCAAGATGTCTTGCAACCCTGGATAGACCCTTGGTGAATACCAAAGCAGCAATCTTGCACATGAACGGACCAGAATAGCCAGGAAGTAAGCATTTTTCATGGGGCTTAAGAGGTCAAGTGTCTATGCCAGAGACATAGGATTTTGTCAACACAACAAGGTGCTCTATATGATCACGGCATGGAGAGTATGCCATGAATGTAGGATAAAGTGGGCATGTGTGAGTGGCGCCACTGGCTCCAACAAATGCTGGTATCTCCAGAACATCATAACAATAGAAGTTCTGGAAGCAATACACAAGGGGAACATACAATACAATTGGGGAAAAGTTATGTTCAATGGATACATGCTGGATTGCTCTCGAACATTTGAAGGGGGAGGTCCACACATGTTTAGCCATATAATGTATAATCCCGAGCAGAAGGTAAATCTAAGGTTGTATATCTGCACTCACCTTTGTAACAACGACTCTCTGTTGTGAACGATAAAATCTCAGAAGCCTTTCAAAAACATATAAGATCAATGGCGCCAGGATCCACTTCCATGTCTAGAATGGGAACAGATAAATCATTGGAGTCAATGGGAACAATAGGAACTCCCAGCAGCCGCCCCTGTAAGAATTGTACAAGCCCGGTGATGATGTCATTGGGAGTAATAACAGCTATTTCTAGCCAGAGGAACGAGGTAACAGAAATACTAACGCTGGAACATGCTGTAGAGGGGTTGAGGGAGGTTCTGGGCTAGTTTGGGCCATGCTGTGACTTGCATTTCAAAGAGGAACTGAAGCCGTGCCCAAAGAAATTGGCCAAAGGCAAAGGACTAGTCATATTGTCTGTGCTCTTCCTGCAGTTGACCTTTCCCCATTACTGATTCGCCATGCCTTGTGTCTCTGCATGGAGTCGGCCATCTTGGTAGAGGCGGGGCTTGGCTTCCTCATGTCAGAGCCTCCAGCGAGGAGAACGTTGAGCAGCACGGTAGTGACACCACCAAATCTCCTGAGACAAGAAGTGAGAGGCAGCAGTGCCTGAGATCTCACACTGCAAATATACAGCTATGAGGCTGTAGGTACAGGAGCGCTTAGGCTATGGTTTCCATCCGTTCCCATTTGCTGGGGGCAGTCCCTGTTTTGAGGGGTCTCTCTCCACCAAAAAAAATGTCCCCATCTTTGCCCAGACAGCACCCCAGTGTTCCCGACTGTGTAGTGATTGCACTGCGCAGGCGCCATCCCAATATGGCGCTGCTGGAACCAGCTGTGTATGCATGGCTGTTGGGAAAAGAAAAGCCGGCTTGCCTTGATAGCTGTGCATGCGCAACTGGCTCCAGCAGCGCCATATTGGGATGGCACCTGCGCAGTGCCATGACTATACAGTCAGGAACACTAGGGTACTTTTTGGGCTGGGCTGGGCTGGGGACAAACCCGGGGTCCTTTGCTTGGCAGGGGACAGGCCCCTCAAAACAGGGACTGTCTCCAGCAAATGTGGACAGATGGCAACCATAGCCTAGGCCAGTGGTGGCGAACCTCGGCACTCCAGCTGTTTTGGAACTACAAGTCCCATGAGGCATTGCAAGGCTCTGACAGCCACAGACATAACTCCCAGAGGCAGATGCCAGATGTTGGGATTTGTAGTTTTGGCACAGCTGGAGTGCCAAGGTTCGCCACCACTGGCCTAGGCACTCCCGTGCCTACAGCTTCGTAGGTGTGAGATCTAAGGCACTGCTGCCCCTGACAGTCAGTCAGGCCACTGGGGAGGGACATTTGATGGGGGAAATGCCCAGGATTGGGAGAGGGGGTAGCCCTATAAATAAAGACATCACGATGGGGAAGCAGCCGCCATTTTGATTCAATGGCAGCCCCTTTTAAAAAAGGAGGGGGGTGATTTTGTTGGTGTGGTTGCAAACGGGGAGTGGGGGGTTATTTTTATAGGCATGGCCAGCAGAGTGTCCCCGGATTTCATTTTGAAAACCTGGTAGCCGTAGCCTAGGGCCCTAGACACACTCACTGGAGGACAGGAAGTGCTCAGACATTTGTTTGGGAGGGATTCCAGACATAAGTTACATTGTCCCGGGGACGTCTTACACACAATGGACACGTCTAGATGTTCCCTATAACACGGAGGATCTCCATTTCCTGAGTTCCGGATCACTTTCATTTGAGGTTCATAAAGTATTAGAAGCTGGACGTCCCAATTTGGTGTTCCCGGGCAAGATGAAGTTCATGGAATGGACACGTCAGTTGCAATGCTTACCATGGGTTCATTGCCCTGAAAACTGGGCTGGAGACATTTTTCACCGTCATCATCATCATCATCCTCATCTCTTCCACTAGGAACCTTCCATTGAATAAATTTATCATGGCAGGATTCATATTTGTTGTGCTTCATGCTGTCGCTGGTCTGTCCTCTCACTATGCGCCTGAAAATGGGATAATAATAGTAAATGGAAGTCAGAGAGAGCCCCCCTGGCTGAAGGACATCCAGCATCATCTAGATATCTCCTTGCCAGCCTGACTGTCCCTGGCCCGCCCCTTTCATGCATTGGATCCTAGTTCTCTCAATCACGGAGGCTCATTATCACATGTGGGCGTTATCCACAGTGGCGTTTCTGCAAATGCAGCCTGGCTAGGAACACCCACTCCTCCAGACCGACACCCACCCACCCATCAAGGCCTTTTGATATTTGCATAACTCCTCCCAAGAGTCAGCCCACTGCTTGTGGGCTGGGGGGCTCTTGAGAGGAGTACTGAGCACCCTGCCGACCCCTCCCGCCAGCTATGATCTGCCTGCATTGCAAGGAGAGGCATAGAGGACATCACCAGGTCTAAAAAAAGGTATGTAATGATCTCAGACAATTCATCCCTGCACAGCTCCCTCCTCATGTATCACTGGCCCCTCCCCTTTTAGATTGTAAGCCCTCAGGGGCAGGGCCCTCCTTACCATCTTGTCTTGAATTATATTGTGATTGTAACGTCTTCCTTATATTGTAAAGAGCTATATAAATCCTGTATAATAATAATAATAATAAATCAGAAAGGGGGGCGGAGGAACCCGAGAAGGCAAAATATAAGTAAATTAAACCAGTTTTAACCATCCCCAATCCAAATAACAACAAAAAAGCTAACGCGTTTCAGGAGAAAGGACTTCCCTTCTTCAGGGCTTGAGCAACGGTCTGTGAGAATGAAATACACTAGAACGCCTTGAGTCAAGGCTGGACTAGGGCGAGCGGGTCCTAACGCCAATGTAACAAATAACAAATGAGATACAATGTAATGTTAGGAGATGACGTGTGTATCTGCTCACCCCACTCCGTGAATCAGGAGACCAGCGAAGAAGATGATGAAGAGGTGGTGCGTGTACCAGAACACTTCAAAGTAACTTCTGCGAATGAACTCCGTAGAGGACGTGATCATCAAAATCAAAGCCAGGGTGATCACCACGCCGGTGACGCCAGCGATGGTGGTAAAGCAGAAAATGGGCGGAGTCTGTGGGGGAAAAGAAAAGCGCTGTGAACAACAGGCACGCCCCCTGCCACTTACCCAGTTATATATAAGCAATGGACACACCTCCTGCCATGCTCCCAGTTATATATAGGTGATGGATACAACCACTGCCATGCCCCCAGTTATATATAGGCAATGGACACACCCCCTGTCATGCCTCCCAGTTATATATAGGCGATGGACACACCCCCTGTCATGCCTCCCAGTTATATATAGGCGATGGACACACCCCCTGTCATGCCTCCCAGTTATATATAGGCGATGGACACACCCCCTGTCATGCCTCCCAGTTATATATAGGCGATGGACACACCCCCTGTCATGCCTCCCAGTTATATATAGGCGATGGACACACCCCCTGTCATGCCTCCCAGTTATATATAGGCGATGGACACACCCCCTGTCATGCCTCCCAGTTATATATAAGCATTGGACACGCCTCTTGCTATGCCCCCCCCCAGTTATACATTGGCAATGGACACACCTCCTGCCACTCACCTCCTGCTATGCCCCCAGTTATATATAAGCAATGACCACACCTCCTACTATGCCCCCAGTTATATATAAGCAATGGACACACCTCCTGCCATGCCCCCCAGTTATATATAAGCAATGGACACACCTTCTGCCATGCCCCCAGGTATATATAAGCAATGGACACACCTCCATGACATGCACCCCAGTTATATATAGGCGATGGACACACCTCCTGCCATGCCCCTAGGTATATATAAGCAATGGACACACCTCCTGCCATGCCCCCCAGTTATATATAAGCAATGGACACACCTCCTGCCATTACCCCAGTTATATATAAGCAATGGACACACCTCCTGCCATACCCCCCAGTTATATATAAGCAATGGACACACCTCCATGCCATGCCCACACAATGTGGTAGCCAAGTTTTAGGGCCCACCTGCTGTGCCACATGACCATCTTAGGTAAATGTAATTTGCCATATACAGGCCTGTAGCCATGTAAGGTCAATGACATCACTGCATCCCACCCCTTTGCATACATCAAGCTGTGGGCGGGGACATCCCATTGATTGGGCATCATGGAAGGAGCTTCTCCCCAAGTGCGGGAGGAACTCAGTTTCAGACCGTGTTCAGAATGAACCTCAGCCCATCCCTAGTGCCTACACCCATTTCTCCACTGTATCTCCGGAGGGAGCCATGGTGGTCGCACAGCCGGGACTTCCAACATGTCCGAACCTCTACAGCTTATCATCAGCACAGTATATGGAGTACCTGTGCCTCGGATCTGATGGGGTTGACCCAGTCTCCGTCAATGCTCGACAACCTTCCTTCAAGGGTAATATTCTTAGATGTCGCCGCATTGTAGAATCTTTCAACGTTAAACAAGTGCGCGATGGTGTGGATAGCTACAAGGGGCGGAGCCAAGTGGTCAACATGTGAGAGAGACATAAAGAAAGGTTTAGGATAATAAAACAATCAATAAACCATCTACAGGGTCTAAATTCTCAATGCATTAAAACCCCCCGAAACGCGTTGCTTTGGTGGACTGTGATTTCGGTGCCTCTGTTTTGAACTTGGAAGATGAATTTCTCCACAATGCCTATAGCTACAGAGGTGAGTGAAGGCTTGTTTTTAAATGTGGAATGTTTACTGTTTTTTTTGTAGAAGTCTCCCAGCTGGGCTTTTCTGCATCCATGCAGGTCCAAATTAGTTCCTATTAAGACTTGGAGGAACCGGGGCAGGTAAGTACAGGGGCTCATTCAGACCCTCAGCATTGGAGTTGTGTCGGGCAGCATCACCAACCCCAACCCAAGAACAAGGCAATTTGCATTATGTCCTATGGCAGGGGTAGGCAACGTGGGCACTCCAGCTGTGTTGAACCTACAAATCCCTGGGAGTCATGCCTGTGGCTGTCACAGTCTTCCAATGCCTCATGGGACTCCCACAACAGCTGCAGGGGCAAGTCTGCCTACCCTGACCTCTGACTTCAGTTTAGCATTGCCCAATGCAAGAACAAGGCAATTTCCCTTATGTTATATGGCAGGGGTAGGCAACCTGGGCACTCTGAACGTGGTGAAACTACAAATTCCATCATGTCTCTGCCTCCGGGGGTCATGTCTGTGGCTGTCAAAGTCTTGCAATGCATCATGGGACTTGAAGTCTCACGATAGCTGGTGTGCCCAGGTTGCCTTCCCTGACCTCTGGCATTGTCCAAGGGGGTCATTTAAAGGGTAACTCCGTTTTGGCATTTATCCATTTCCAGCTACACCCATGATTGTGATTTGGGGTTTATCTTCCATAATACAAAGTATCTCTAGAACAATGGCGCCGTCCAATGTCGGGGGTCTTACCTGTCATCAGGGCGATGGTATAACCCACCAGCTTATGGAACGCCAGATTATGATCCAGCTGCTTCCTCACCGAGCGGCGACAACACTGGGAATAGAAAAATAGCATTTTACTGACATTCTATAAAATCTACAAAATCTATATATAGACAAGAACGTGTATTCGGAAGGATTGGAACCCCTGTTGGGTTTTTAGTGCATTCAGTACAGAGAGGTAGTGATGAAGGCTTTACGTTACATTGTATTTATAAATAATATTTACAGTAAAACAACTTTATTATCCAAATAATATCAAAATGTAACAAAATGGGACCCTTCTGCTCTCTCTCTCCTTGTACAGGGTGACTGGTCTTGTCTCCGCCCCCTCCTGTAATAAAGACCACTCACTGCCGCTCTCTCTTCTTGTGCAGGGTGACTGGTCTTGTCTCCTCCCCCTCCTGTAATAAAGACCGCTCACTTCTGCTCTCCTTGTGCAAGGTGACTGGTCTTGTCTCCGCCCCCTCCTGTAATATAGACCAGTACCTGCTGCTCTCTCTACTTGTGCAGGGTGACTGGTCTTGTCTCCGCCCCCTCCTGTAATAAAGACCGCTCACTGCTGCTCTCTCTCCTTGTGCAGGGTGACTGGTCTTGTCTCCGCCCCCTCCTGTAGTTTTTTTTGGCTTTAAATTGGGGGGAAAAAGTATATTTTTGCACAAAAATGTTTCCACTTACTGACAAGGTTCCTCTTAAAAACGACAGGAGATTCCTGCAGACGGGTAACAGGATGAGCAAACAATTAAAATTCAGGCAGGCGGCAGATCCTCGGGCCCAGGCAAGAGCAGACTGCGAATAAACAGAAACATGTTAGTTGTATATTGCTTTTATCACATATGTATATATTTTTTAATTGCAATGTGTCCTTAAACTTGCTAAGGAAATTGACCCCTCCCAGAAGAGTTGATGCCCTAGCGCAGCCCCCTTCTCCTTGCACATCATAGCCTCCTCCTCTTCTTGGAGTGCATATTTACTGCCTGTACTGGCCCAGCTCCTCTGCCCCACCCCTCCCTTTCTCTCCCTACACAATCTTTTATTGAGCTGACAGGGGAGAAGAGAAAGGGAAATTGACCCCTCCAGGAAGAGTCAATTTCCCAGCGCAGCCCCCTCTCTCCTTGCACAACATAGCCTCCTCCTTCTTCTGGGAGTGTCTGATTACTGTCAGTGCTGCCCCAGCCCCTCCACCTTTCCCTGCATAGCCTTTTATGGAGGAGCAAAGGTGAATACTATAGAGTGTCATTTGAGTCTACTGGAGCTGCTGATGTCACATCCAAGATGGCGGCCCCCAGCATCAATCTCAGGCCCTTGGGATGTCTACACAAGGGAGGATTTTGCAGGGACATAAAGTGTCTAAAATATGTGAAATGCTCATAGAATCTAATGGGAAGATTGTTATTGAATGGTTTGATCTGGTGACAGGCTAATAGGGTTGAACAAGACTGGCAATGCCGGACACCTATTGGCCCGTCACAGTGATGGACAGCCTGACTAGCCAATGGTGAAGAGTGGGAGGGGACTGAGCAGCTGTGAAGTGTGCAAGTTTCAGGGGGCAACATATTTCCAAAAGCCCCATAAACCTGCATACGTCATAGAGAAGTCCAAAGCTGCTCAGTCCCCACCCACTCTACCCGATTGGCCAGCGAGGCTGTCCGTCATCATGACAGGCCAATGGGTGTCCGATGTTAACAATAATCTATCCTAAGTTACAGGAAGTCCATACTTACTCCGAGGATAACTCTTGTATATTGGAATGGCTTCCCTTTCTCATAGATTAAGAAGAAATTAGTAAACAAGAAGATGTTCAGTCCCAACCAGGCGATCTGCCGGACAAAAAAAGAAGACATAAATACAAAATTATCATTACTTTCATGTTTAATGTGAAATAAAATTGCATTCAAATGTTCGTCATGTTTCATAGATGAGAAGATAAAGGGGCCGATTTATAAATCCTCCCACCACTAGGTGGAGCCCAGGAGCATAGGAAATTCCCATTACATATTGGCCACTAGGTGGAGCTGAGGAGCATAGGAAGTTCCTATTACATTATGGCCACTAGGTGGAGCTGAGGAGCATAGGAACTTCCTATTACATTATGGCCACTAGGTGGAGCCAAGGAGTGTAGGAAGTTCCTACTATATTATGGCCACTAGATGGAGCAAAGGAGCATTGGAATTTTCTATGCTCCTTGGCTCTCTCTAGTGAAGGGAAAGCCGCGTGAACGACATTCACTCAGCGTATGGCTGGGCGAAAGATTTATAAATCAGCTCCTATGTGTATGTAAACCCTCACAATAACCTCTCTTGTTTATATATATACACACAGATGAGCCATTATGACCACCCATCTAATATTGGGTAGGTCCCCCTTTTACTGACCAGTCCAGGCATGGACTCACTAGACCTCTGAAGGTGTGCTGTGGTATCTGGATGAACCCCCCTAATATTGAGTAGGTCCTCCTTTTCCTGACCCGTCCAGGCATGGACTGCACTAGACCTCTGAAGGGATGCTGTGGTATCTGGATGACCCCCCCCCCCCAATATTGGGTGGGTCCTCCTTTTCCTGACCCGTTCAGGCATGGACTCCACTAGATCTCTGAAGGTATGCTGTGGTATCTGGCACCAAGTCATCAGTAGCAGATCCTTTAAGTCCTGTAAGTTGTGAGGTGATCGGCCTCAAAGGATCGGACTTGTTTTCCTAGCAGATCCCACAGCTGTTTGATGGATTGAGATCTGGAGAATTTGGAGGCGGAGTCATCACCTCAAACTCATTGTTGTGTACCTCAAACTATTCTTGACCCATGTGTGCAGTGTGGCAGGGCGCATTATGCTGCTGAAAGAGGCCACTGCCATCAGGGAATACCATTTCCATGAAGGGGTGTACAGTACTTGGTCAGTGACAATGTTTAGGTCGGTTGTACGTGTCAGAGTGACATCCACATGAATGGCAGGAGCCGAGGTTTCCCAGCAGAACATTGCCCAAAGCATCACACTGCCTCCGCCGGCTTGTCTTCTTCCCATAGTGCATCCCGGTGCCATCTCTTCCCCAGCTAAGTGACACACACACCCGGCCGTCCACATGATGTGAAAGAAAATGAGATTCATCACATCAGGCCACCTTCTTCCATCGCTCCGTGGTTCTGTTCTGACGCTCATGTGCCCATTGTTGATGCTTATGGCTGTGGACACGGGTCCCTATGGGCACCCTGACCAGTTTGTGGCTACAAAGGCCTATATGCAACAACCTGCGGTACACTGTGTGTTCAGACATCTTTCTATCGGAACCATGAGTTACAGCAGCTCTTCTATTGGATTGGACTGCCCGGGGCCAGCCTTCGCTCCCCTCGTGCATCAATGAGCCTCGCCCGCCATTATATATAATTTATTTTGGGGAAGCCCTAAGAAAAAACGCCTAATGATGTCACAGGAGACATTGGTTGTCATTAGCCAAGACTGAGGTGTCCTTCACTATGGGCTCCAGGCGCCATCTTGGGAGAGCCTGTGTCATATCCTTTGAGATTTTCAGACTCAGGTTGCTATAAAGAGCACGCTCTGCATCAGCAAGAGGCCCCTGGGCTGGGAAGTGACAGATACGGACTGGGAACCCATTTTGTTGGGGACAGAACAGGGTTGGATTGTGCTTTGCCTTGTGGGTGGAAAGCCTGGAGAACTTAAGCATCTGGTCAGCTGGTGAGAAGGACCCCCTTGGGAAGCCCCTGTGCCCAGATGAGCCATTTGTGAAGAACCTTGGCTAGCCACAAGAAAGCTCAGTATCCCAGAGAAGGTGGAGCTTCAGGGAGCCGGACTTCCCTTGGTAACCTTTATGTACCACACTCTTAAATTGTTCCATTCTCCTTACCGTTGTGGAAGAAGAATTGGAGATTCAGCTGCGGCGTCTCAGTATACCGTGAGCTACAGCTCGTGGTATACTGAGCCTAGGGTGACGGGAGGACGCTAGTTTGTGTCCTCCCGTTACCCTAAGGAGAACTATGGGGAAAAGACCTGACCCCATAGTTCTCCTTTAATGGCTTCCAAACCAACCTGAAGTCCTCCCATCACAACCCAATACTACTTCCAAGCTGTAGGGATTGTAGTCCACATACATGATTTCTCTCAGTAAGCCCTGTTGTGTTTTAGACCCCTCGAAATGCGTTGGATACTCTACTCGAATGTCCTCCTGACCCTAACGTAATATAGTTGTATCTGGACTATTTTAACGGGTATGGCACTTCAATTCCTACATCTACTGGAGGATACCATGGCCGGCAGGGGACATTCCTCCATCCATGCTGTTCAGTATTAGTGATTTTTCTAGTTATGCCCCTGAGGCTGAGCGAGAACATTCTTGTGGTGTGTGGGCAGCTTATCAATGTCATTGTACTTTCCGGCTTCGGAGATAAAAAGAACCTTAAAGGGACAGTTGTGTTTCATTCTTCCCTCATCACCACTGTCTACATGCTGCATCTTTACTTCCATGTATGATCTACTCCGGGAAATTCCCCCACCCCGGTGTCACCATCAGTCGGTTCAATGCTGTGCAGTGTACTTCCTGGTTCTCCTCTCCTTATACTCATGAAGAATCCAATAAGTCTTAAAGTATAACAAACTAACACACATTATGAAGTCTACATGTAAGCACATAACAAACACATAGTGGGGGGTTTCTCAGATTTGACTCCAGGAGTGGAAATGCACTTTAAGGAACAGTCACTAGATGGCGCAAAATGAGGCTTTCTTGTTTATTTCCCATTGCGCCTTCCTTGCACCCAGTACGTCCGAGCTTCTACCACACTCCAACCTCTACTGCTGCCTTAAATGTGACTGCAAGGGACAGTGACTAGATGAGGCAAAATGGGCGGATTTGCAATATGGAGGATGGAGAGGGGGACATTTTGGACACACAGAAGATAACAATAGATACAATTTATTGCCAGAACTATGGCAGAGAACCAGTAGTTGGTGATCCAGTTTCCAGTTGTGCTTTCTTGTTTATTTCCCATTTGTTACAATTTTGTTTCCCATTGCACCTTCCTTTTTCATTTGCCATGTGCTCCCATTTTGTTGCCCATTGCACCTTCTCCTTTATTCCCCATTCATTCCCATTTGTTTTCCCATTGCACCTACTTCTTTATTCCCCATTCATTCCCATTTGTTTTCCCATTGCACCTACTTCTTTATTTCCCATTCGTTCCCATTTGTTTTCCCATTGCACCTTCTTCTTTATTTCCCATTTGTTCCCATTTGGTTGCCCATTGCACCTTCTTCTTTATTTCCCATTTGTTACCATTTTGTTGCCCATTGCACCTACTTCTTTATTTCCCATTTGGTTGCCCATTGCACCTTCTTCTTTATTTCCCATATGTTTGCCCATTGCACCTTCTTCTTTATTTCCCATTCGTTCCCATTTGGTTGCCCATTGCATCTTCTTGTTTATCTTTCTGTTTCCAGCTTTCCTTGCGCCCAGCATGTCCTACCTTCCACCAGACACCAGCTTCTACTGCTGCTGTAAATTTGACTGCAAAGGTGGAAAGGGACTTTAAGGAACAGTCACTAGATGAGGCCAGATGAATGGATCTCCAATATGAAGGAGGGGCGACGTTTTTGGACATACAGAAGATAAACATAGATACATTTCCTTACCAGAACCACAGCGGAGAACCAGTGGTTGACGACCCAATTTCCCATGGCGTCTTCTTGCCTATTTTTTGCCTTTTCACCGTCCCTTGAACCCTAGAAGTCCTCTTCTCCACCGGAGGCCAACGTCTACTGCTGCTTTGTATTCTATTTCTCCTTCTTCTTCCCTTCAGATGCTACGCCTGTTCTTCCGTCCGCTGTGACAGGTGTAACGTCAATAAAGCTCTGGAGGAAGTCTGCAGATATTATCACCTGTTCTTTTATTCCAAACTGTTGCAACAACCTGAGATTTTCCCCGAAGGTTAGCCCTGCCTTCACTCCATAGCTAGACACCACGCGGACACCGGGGCTGTGAGCATGCTGAGTCCATTAGTCACTCCTTTATCAGGCAGGGAGAATCCCGGCAATACTTCTGGAGGAAATAAGGTGAATATATTATTGGCTACCCAAAGTGTTGCAACTGCTTGATATTTCAAGGGATAGTCCCCCCCCCCCTCCCATATCATAGCGGGAGAACAGGTTCATGGCGTGAATTTAGACGTTCACTTCCTTTATAACTCAAAACTAGACTTTTGCCACCTGTGTTTAAAAAAAAAAATGCAGATTCTAAAAATAGAGGCACAATGATGAAAGGAGGCGTCTACCCCCAGCCATGAATTAGGATCTGTTTATATTAAAGCAGAACTCCGGGAAAAGAGCCGAGAACCCACATAGAGTACACATATGGAATATAGAAAGGAGGGGGGCTGGGATCTCATTGTTAGTGGCCAACAATGGGAATGACGGTCCCATTTATAGAGCTGAATCACTTCAGTGTGGCAACAAAGAACCCCCAAGCTGAAGAAGAGAGGATGAAGTAGGAGTTATACCCATAGCTTCCAACTGTCCTTCATTTGGAGGGACGGTCCTTCTTTTGGAACCATATCCCTCTGTCCCTCGTCCTCCTCAGTTATACCCATATCTTCTCACTGTCCTTCATTTGGAGGGACTGTCCTTCTTTCGGAACCAAGTCCCTCGTCCTCAGTGATACCCATTGCTTCTGACAGTCCTTCATTTGGAGGGACTGTCCTTCTTCTGGAACCAAGTCCTTCTTCCTGCTCAGTTATACCCATTGCTTCTGACAGTCCTTCATTTGGAGGGACGGTCCTTCTTTTGGAGCCAAATCCCTCTGTCCCTCGTCCTCCTCAGTTATACCCATATCTTCTCACTGTCCTTCATTTGGAGGGACTGTCCTTCTTTTGGAACCAAGTCCCTCTTCCTCCTTAATAATACCCATAGCTTACGACTGTCCTTCTTTCGGAACCAAGTCCCTCGTCCTCCTCAGTTATACCCATTGCTTCTGACTGTCCTTCATTTGGAGGTACTGTCCTTCTTCCAGAACCATATCCCTCTGTCTGTCTTCCTCCTCAGTTGTCCTTCTTTTTGGTCTCCTATATAAACCTTTATAAAGTCTTCAGTCTTGCACAGGTGTAGCCGCTCCTCTCCTAGACTGAAATGGCTTCCTCTGAGTTCCCTGCACACTGGGGGCTCCTCACAATGTGCATTAGAAGCTGCAGCAAGTCATATAGAGCCCGCCTCCTTTCCTGGCTGGAGGATAATCAGCATCATCTAACTCTTTCCTCCCTAGCCTGACCTCCTCCCCCGCGCATTCATTGGATTCTAGTTTTCAATCATAGAGAATCAGCATCACATGTGGGTGTTATCTAGGGCGGTCTGTTGTTTTCAGTAAGCCCCTCCCACCTGCCTGGAATGCATGGGATAAGTCAGGACAAGTTGGAAGGCTAACAGGTTAGCCTGAATTTGTGGGAGGGGTCTGCGTCTCCTTACCCCACTTAAGCAGCGACGATCCGTCTGCTGGGGAGCAACCCCCCCCCCA